TCAGCAGGGGTCCAACGTTGCCCTTGATTTTCCTCCAGCTCCCCACATATTTGAAAAAGGACTTTTTATTGTCCTTGATGCTCGAAGCTAGTTGGAGTTCAGTTGCAGCCTTGGCTTTCCTGGTTTGCTCCCTGCAGGACCGGACCAGTGCAGAATATTCCTCCTTGGAGGCGAATCCCATCCTCCATCCTTTGTAGGCCTTTCTTTTTAGCCTCAGGAGGTCTGCTAGATCCCTGGAGAGCCAGGGGGGACTGCTATACCCTCTTCTTGCCTTTCCTCCGAGATGGAATAGAATTAGCTTGTGCATTGAGGATCGCTCCCTTGAGGAGCAACCACTGTTCCTGAACTCCCCTCCCCCTGGGGTCGTGGTCCCTTAGGGCCTCACTGACAAGCCTCCTGAGCTTGTCAAAGTCGGCTTTCCTGAAGTCAAGGACTTCAGTGTTGCTGACCGACTTGCCAGCTTTACAGCAGATGGTGAAGGTAATCAGCTCGTGGTCGCTGTCACCCAGCTTCCCATCGAGCACTAGGTCGCCGATTAGGTCATCCCCAGTAGCCTGTACCAGGTTGAGCAGTGCTTTACCTCTCGTTGGCCCGTAGACTTCTTGAGTCAGGTAGAGGTCATCCACGCACAATAGGAATCTTTGCGACCGCTCAGATTTTGCTGAGTGATCCACCAAGCCATCCCACCCAAAATGGACCTTCGTTAGCTGCATCCAACTTCTTTGCAGGCTGGATCTGACCTAAAGCTGTAGGGTGGCACACCCTCCCTAAGGTCATCCCAGTCTAAACATCATTAATTCTTTACTTGCAGAAGTGTTAATACAAGATATAGGATTTAATGCAATAACTTTGTTAACATTAAAATGACTGTATAGTCACCCCCAAATAAATTATTTTAATTAGTCAAGGGATCAAAATATTAACTATTTTTACCTAACAGCAAGTAGGATATACATGCTCTATATTAATGCAGAACAGCACGCCAAACCCTGAAGTTCTTATTCAAGAAAAGCCTGTACCAACTTTAAAAGGAGTATTGCCCAAGGAGGTACAGCTGGGTTAAACCAACGTGATCTTTGTCCCCCTCAGAGGAAATTAGATATTGTTTCAAGGTTTACACACAAACATAAATAGAATATACCTTCTCTGTCTGAATTAAGAGGGAAATGATGACACATAATGGATCAACTAGGTCCAAATGTAATGCTATTCCATCTTGACAGCATCCTAAAAATTGACAATGGATGTATTTTACCCATCAGAGCATTAAGGCTACTTCATAGATGTAGACAGAAGGAAAAGAACTCACCTACTTTCTACACTAATAGTTTGTCAGAGACCCAAACAGTATAACAGGATTGCATTTAAGCACCACTTAGATGTTTAATACCCTTTAGGACCACTTAGACTTTGACTTCAACTGAACATACATTCAAGATTCAATATGTAAATATAAATACGAATATAAAGTTGCATTATCTCTAAATATACCAATTTTTTCATTTTGTGCTTTTTCAGTTTCCTCTTGAATCTTCCTATCTTTGACCTGGGTGTCCAGAGCATCTTTATCAACCTATTAAATTGAAAAAACATGAAACTCTTTAAAAATGTAATCCGTTGAAAATATTAAAAAATGTATAGACTTTTGTCTAACACTTGTTTGTTAAAAATTGACTTGATCAAGAAATGAACATATCTGACTTACAAATTTATAAAGCAAGGCAGCTGTGAATTGAGCTACTGCTAGTGAATTGGCTTTAATATAGTAAATGACATACATAACATATTTTAAATATGTGGCTGTGAAAGAAAATACAGTAAGAACATAGTCCTGTTTGTTCATTTCATTCTAATAGCAACAAGTACATTCAAACACAACAATGTTTTATGGCTTATTGAGCTCCTATACATAGCTGAAATATTTCCTCTCCATTGTAGCTAGCTGTCTAATTTTCCTCCTTTCACCATTCCCCTTTATTAAATAGTTAAAAAGGTTTTTGCCAGTTATGCTGTAGTAGAAATAGAATACCTTGCTGTGGTAAGATAGCTTGCATATTTACATATAATGCTCTATTCAAATTCTTTGTTGGATGAGAAAATGGGAGTAGAAGAAAACTTTCAGCTTTTTCTGTAGAAGATACTATTTTTGGTGTCTGGAAACTGGTTTAATTCCTGAATTTTCCACTGACTTTTGTGTGTGATCTTTGATAAGTCACTGAACTCTGTATACATAGCTATACAATAAAGATGACAATACAGATATTACATGACCGCCTTGGTAAAGCACTGAGATAATTTGGTGTAAATTGCTGTTTTCAACTGGATCACAAAGGTTTATTTGAACAACAAAGCTCCTCATAATTTCAATAACAGTTAAGGAAAAAAAATTAAACAATTTTTCCTCAGAAGATCCTGGGCATGGCATGGAAAAGAGATTAGATAGTATGTGGAAACTCTGAATTATTATACTAATTTATCCTTTGTCATCTTAGAGCATATAAAAAGCTAGTCATCATTAGCTAACCTCAATTTAAATAATAACAGCAAAATAACAAAGTACTTGCTATGCTAACATAACCAACACCCTTTTTTTTCAGTTTTGTCTGCTAATTTGTATTTGTCAATTTTACGTTATATCCCTAATGATAAATACTGAATAAATGTTAGCATAGCTTAATTAATAATTCAGTCCATATATTTCCACTTTTTCCCGAAATAAATTATTTTTGGAAAAATGGGATTTTTAATTATAACAGTTACAGATTAAAAAAGCTATGTAATTGCAAAGAATCTTTACAAATAGGAGTAAATTTCAATTTGCTCATTTTGCAGATGAGGACATTCAGCACAGAAGTAACTTGCCTGAGATCACGCAGTAAATTATGGGCAGTACCATTCCCACTCCCACTCTCAATCTTGTTCAATGCACCACTGCACCTCACCCTTTTTGATTTTGCTTCTTCTGACAGATTCGTTGACTGTTAAGTCAAATACTGACATGGCTTTCCAATTGTGTTAGCTGTAGCAGCTAGGCAGAGCTGACAGTAAGTATTACAAGTTACATATTAGGCAATAATTTTAAAAGTGTACCTAAAAGCACAAAAACATCACATCTACTGTAAGCTTACAGGATGTTTCTACTTTATGTTTTACTTAATTTCACAACAGACGACAACATGTAACCTTTCAGCTGTTGAATACATCATTTTCATCTAAATAAAGATAAACATTTATGTGGGTTTCTCTTTTATTTCTGATGTTTATTTTTCTGGCAAATTGATCTGTTATACACCTATTTGACATATTACTATTGCAAAACTCTTTGTGCTATATCCTCATTTGCTATAAGTTAGCATCACTTTATTAAATATATAGAGACTCAATGCTGACTTACATCACCTGAAGATTTATCACTGAATTTAACTTGTAAGAAATGCTGTAGAAACATACATGATAGAAAAAACTAAATGATATATTTCCACGTGCAGAAAAGTGGAGTTGCCTTCTTACTTGGTTATTTTTGTGTGCCTTATTATTTCCATCTACTAACTGATTGTTACCATCTTTCTTTGATGCATCTGGGTACTGGCTGTTATTGGTGACAGAATCCCGAAGTAGATGGATGACTACTCTGACAGCATTTTTGCTGTTTCTAGGTAATTAAGTTGACTGGGGCAGAAAGGTCACATGCATAATCCAAAGATTTATGATTAAGTCATAAGCACACTGGGTGAAAATGATCTTTTCAGTAACGTGAGATTTAAATCTCAGTCCTTAAGACTTGAAGGATCAAATTTAGCCTTGTTGCAAGCAAACCCAATCCACCAAATGCAACAAACCAGGGCTGCTTTCACCCATTCTGAATTTGATCTTACGTGATCATGTAAAATTGTTCATGCAGACATTAATAGTGACACTGGATACTTCCAGTGTGCTTGAGAATTTCACTATACTTGACAAATATTAGTTCACTAAGCATCACAGCACATCTGCAGAGCAGGAAAGTGCAGCTCCACCCCCAAACACCCCCCACCCAAATCAGGTGGCAAGCCTTGTGGCCAACATTACAAAGGCTAAAAACACATCAGGCATGTCCAGATGAGCACAGACGGGTCTGCAGCACCACACACCGCAGATGCAGACATTCCCTACGGTGCTACTTTGCAGTAGCAGGGGTCATAAAACCCACACCAAAAAATAGCGGGGTGATGCACATGGCAGTAGTACATGCTGCCCAAAACTGGCCTGGCTGGCTGGGGCCACACTCTGGCTTCTAATCAGGCTCCCAGCTGCAGGAGCGCTGTGGCTGTAGTTCTCAGATGCCCCCAGAACCCCAGGTCAGGCTGCTGGGACTAGCATAGGTCCTGGCCCCAGACTCCCTTACCCCACCCGGGGTAACCTGCTGTTTGCCACAGCATGTGTAGCATAGGCATTCCCCAGGGACAAGTAGTAGCACCCAAGGTGTGCCACTGCTACTTGTCCCTAGGATAATGCATGTTCCTCCTTGTCTGGACACGCCCGTTGAGTTTATCCCCAGTTTGACTGTCCCAGCCTGGGAGTCCCCATCAAAACAGGTGGGGGCCAACCAGCCAGCAGATTAGACACAAGAAGCTTGAATGGCAATTAACTTAAATTAACTACTCTTGTCCCCGGGCTAAATGCTAATTCAGATACTTCACATAAAGGAGACAGTGGGATAGGCCCTCTGGATAAAAACAGACAACCAGCTTCATTCAAAATTTGATCATTTTATCTCCTAGCAAACCCCAGATCTTATAGAGGAACAGACAAGTTTATTGTCCCGCATTAACTATCTGTGAATTATCCAAATTAACACATTGCCTCCGAAGGATCCTGGCTAATGTGCGACTCCCCCTAGGCCTAAAGAAGGGTGTTTATGCCAGAGAGGTTGCAAAGAACAATTTTTCCAACTATTTGGTTGGTCTAATAGAAAATATCACATCTACCCAAGGAACCTTGCCTGGATATCTTTAAGAGTGTTATATATGTTACAACTGCCCAAGGATGCCAGGAGGGAACAGCAGATGGGAAGGCTAAGAAGGCTTTCTGAACAAACAAGCCTTATCATTTTAGAAGTTTAACTCCTTGGTCTTTTGAGAATAACACGGCTAATTGGAGTTAATTACTTTAAATTTGCTTGTGTAAGTAGGGATCAAATTACAGAGAAGCTCAGGAGGTTGAATCCCATCATAAGAGATGAGAGAGCCCCCCCCCCGAAGATTTACAAATGATAACCTGAGGGTAGTGCCGTAGCAAGGGGGGTGAGCGAGGGACCGTCCCGGGTGCTGACGAGGGGCAGGGCGTGGGACGGAGCCACGAGTGGCTCGTTGGGAGCCGGGGCCTCGGGGACAGAGGAAAGGGGCTCCTGCTGCTGCTGCGTGTGCTCCCCGGCAAGCATAGCCAGGGGCACATGCCTGCTAGATCTGTGCAGGGGGCGAAGGCGGGCTGCCGCTGCAGGCTTTGCTCCAAGCGCCAAACTTCGTTATTATGGCACAGCAGGCGGCAGGTCCTTCGATTTTATTCGGGCAGCTCAATTCTTTTTTGCACAGCCCCCAAGAGTCAGAGTGTAAGTCGAGGCCTGTGGAAGCCTCCTGTAAACGAACCCAGGGGGGGAAACTTCCACTCTCTACCTCCCCGGCGCAAAATGAATTTCTTTTCTACCTAGGAAAACTTTTACTATCTTTGAATCCCTGCAGCCCAACGAGGGGCGCTCGGACCCGACACCGTACGAAGAAAGGGAGTACGTTGCTCCTGTTGAGTTGGTCTAATAAAAAAACCTCACCTCCGGCCCCAAACTTTGACTGTTTTTTGGAAACGGCCGCGCCCTTGTGCGGGGATGCGGCCCATCTCACCCCAACGCTGCGCGGACCCGCCTATCACTCCCTCTGCAGGGCTGAGAGACATGCACGGGTTTAACCCACCCTGGCCCGCACCCGCACAGCAGCGGCTCCCGCAGGCCGGAACAGCGCCCAGCGAGCACGCAGCTCCTCACCCCGATGATCCTGGCGCGGGCGTCGAAGATGCGGCCCTGAAGCCGCCGCTCCCGCAGCGCCGCCTCGGCGCGATCCAGCCCCGGCCGTAACATAGCGCCACAACCCCAAGCCCCACAACAAGCGCCGTTGCCACGGCAACCAAACCGCCCGGCCCGGCCCGCCCCGCCCCTCCAGCTCTCGCGAGACGCGCCGAGACCTGAGCTGGGCTGCACTCGCGACGCTGCCACGTGCGCGAGGGTCGGACGCAGCGCGTGGCCGTTGCTCTTGCGCGCCCGCCCGCCCGCCATGGGTTACCTGAAGCTGCTGACGATGGAGAACTTCAAGTCGTGGCGGGGTCGCCAGAGCGTCGGGCCCTTCATGCGCTTCACCTGCGTCATCGGGCCCAACGGCTCAGGTAGCTCCGCCCCCCGAGGTGGTACCTCCCATCCCCTCCCCAAGCAGTTGTTGGGGGCAGTACGCAGCCGGGGGCTCGTATTTCCATAGCCATGAAAATGCCAGGGAGTGTTTGCACAGCCTGCCTGGCACCAGAGACCTTGCTACGAGCTGTGCCACAGGCTGCTGCCCTACTTCCAGGGCCTGCAGACACTCAAGTCACTTCACCACATTGGAGTTACTCTATTTCCAGCTAAAAAAAAAAAAAGACGGCACCTGTCGGGGGCAGAGGTAATATTGTAGGGGGGGACAGTGATATGGCCATGAGCTGCCCTCACTCACAAGCCACAGCTACCCCAGCCCTACTCCTGGTCCCAGTCCCCTGCCCCCCAGACTGTGCTGTTGTCCTCCTCTCCCAACCTGCATCCCCCCCACCCTGCCAGCCTGCTGCTGCCCCTCACTTGCAGCCTGCACCCTTGATGCCCCCCCCCCCATGCTGGTGCCTTGCTGCTAACTCTGCTGCCCTCAAAGAATCCTCTCATCTCCTTCCCCTGCTGGAGGGGCAGGCACCTCACTTGCCTGCCCACCCTGCTGCAGCACCAGCAGGCACCTGCACCCACCCACACACACCCACCTATGAATGCACAAGCCCCACCCCCTCCCAACAGTCCCCAAGCCCTGGCCCTCTAAACCCTGTCCCACACAGACTTACCTGCCTGCAGCTGCCGGGGCTGCACACAGAGCACATGATGTCCCCGCCTCCAGTCGCCCTCTTCTGCTTCCCTCAGCCCCAAGCAGCTCTTTTCTGGGGCAAGTCAGGAAGGGCTAGGAAAAACTTTGATGCTGAGCAGAGGCAGAGCAAAATTCCCAGACATTTGGTATTTTAAAAAACCACCTGGACAGAGATGGGAGGACCCAAAAAAAGGACATGTCCGGGAAAATCGGATGTATGGTTATGCTACATCAATTTGGGAATACCTTCTAAGTAGGGATATTGTGAGACTGTTGGTTCTAAATTATTTTAAGATCTCAAAAAAATTGTTAGTGTCACTATTTCTTGATTGCGTATACAAGTTGTGAAAAACACTTAAAAAAATAGAGATTGAAGTTAAAAATTTCAGACATAGCTAACTGCTCATTTGTTAATTTTTTATTCAACTAAAAAAATTATTTTTTTATTTTTAAGGCAAATCAAACCTAATAGATGCCCTTAGTTTTGTGATGGGTGAAAGAACAGCTAACTTACGAGTGAAAAACATTCAAGAGCTTATTCATGGCGCACATGTTGGAAAACCTGTTTCTTCTGTTGCAAGTGTAAAAATGGTATATTGTGAAGAGAATGGAAAAGAAAAAACATTTGCGAGAATTATTCAAGGCAAGTAGTAGGCTTCTACAACAGGCTCTGTTATAAATTGAGGCCCAGACTCAACAAAGTGTTTAAGTAAAGTTTAATCACGTATGTCTGACACTCACCTGTTTACAGCAGCTCACCTAAGCTCCTAGGTGTACATGGACACCTGGAATCTCACCAATTAGACTCCTTTTCTGCCCATAACATCCTTTTATGCCCATAACTCTGCTGTTGGCTGGGAGCCTGTCTCCTGTCTAAACCAATTTAGGATCTACAGGCTAGGCATACTTGTGCCAGTAACCAGGCTAGGCATAATTGTGCCAACATCCCCCTGAGCAGGACCCTCCTGCGCTCTGGCAATGCTCAGTGCAAACACCTACACAGGATAAACTCAGAGATGTCCTATAAGAACCCATAGTGTCAGAAGCATTCTGCCTTCTCGTCTTTATGAGTTCTTTCCAACAGAAGAATGACTTATTTTTTGTAGGCAAGTTCAGAGCTGGCATTTCTGAAGGGTGCCTTGCGCATAAACAAGTTGAGAATCACTGGACTAGAGCAGTGATTTTTTCAAAGTCCCTGAAGTCATGGAACCCTTCCATATCACTTCTGCTGTGGAACCCCTATTCCTATCCAAAAGATGGACAAGTCTTGTAAATGTAAATACATATATACAAATAACACATCATTTTTTCTATTTATTTTTCTTTATCTGTACAAATAGTAATGATTGTGAAAGGATAACTATATACTTGCAGGACATACTTGCTTTCAGTGTGATGAGTGTCCCTGTCTTTCCTTTTGTAAAGGTCTCTTATGTTTGGTATGATGGTTGACAATTGTGATGCATCTCTGGTTCTGCATCTAGCCTGTTTCAGTGTTTATTCTTTGTAATGGTGCCTGATGAGAAATCTTCCTTGCATAAATAAGTAGTAGCAAATGGCATTAGCTGCATTACTGCATGGTGAGTAATTTCAGGATACTGGTTCAAGAGTTGTAGCCAGAAATTCCCCAAAGATATTGATTGAAATGTTAATAAGCTGCTTGTGCTACAGGGAGAAACAAATATCTCCTGCTCACAGCATCCACCTCTCCCTCTCAATTGCTAGGTTTGCCTGGAGTTAAACCCAAAAAAGCTGGTAAAGGAAAGGGGAAACTGTTAGGGTGACAGTATTTGGATCTTGGGGAGCACTGGATCTGCAGCTGAATAAAGGCTTTACGCTGTGTCTCAGCAAAGCTGCTGACCACAAGGCAGAATGATATATTAAAAGTAACATTGCAAGACACTTAGGCAAGCATTTTTTAACCATATAGTATTGTTGTAAGGTAGATTGCTCATTATGTATCGTTAGAAGGTAAAGCAGATTTTGCTTATGAATGCTTATGCTAAACCAGCAATTTGCTTATGCTAAGTAACCATCTTAACTGTGTCAACCATTTTCAAGTGAGTCTATGTAAGTTTGTGTACTGTGAATGAGATGAAGTTTTAGGAATGTGGAGATGATACAACATGAGACTGAAAAACAGACCGGAATGTGAAAGACGTAACTGGTAACAGAATCTGAGATAAAGATATGCGAAAAGGTGAATGTTGATTGGTGAAGAGGCCTCCAGAAGCTTTTGGTCGAAGTCTGCCCAGTGACTGAAAGAAGTGAAGTCAAGATCTTAGACATGCGCTCATAGCAAAAAGACATGTAAATAAGTGAAATACATAGGTAATTTCATGCTACTGAAACAAACAGTAAACAGAGGCGGAGCTTGAGATAGGAGGGAATATGTATGGAACAAAGGAGGAGCAAAGGTGGAGTAAATGTTAATGAGTAGGAACCAAGGTGTATAAATGTAGAAAGACCTAATGTTCACGGCAGCTCCCCAGTTTGGGAGCTAGTCTGAAGCTGTCTCCATTTTGAATAAAGCTGTTGCAAGCAATGCGTGCTGGTGTTTGCTTCCTGTTTACTCCCTGAGCAACTGGATCCCAAGCAATTGGATCGTCATCTCCCTAGTCGTTGGGCGCCGCATGGAGTTGGGGTCTAACAGAAACAAGTTAAAAAATGGTCGATGAATCTTTTTGAAGTATTGGAGTATTGCATCCAGTTCTGGGCACCACAGTTCAATAAGGTTATGGAGACGCTTTAGCGAGAGAGTCCAAAGGAGGGCCACGCACATAATTAGAGGCCTAGAGACCAGGTCATCTGAGGAGAGACTGAAAGACTTGGGGCTGTTCAGCCTGGAGAAGAGAAGATTCAGAGGGGACTTGGTGGCAGCCTACAAGTATATTAGGTACATCAGGGCTTAGGGGAGCATCTATTCACCAAGGCCCCCCAAGGGAGGACAAGAAATAATGGACACAGACTGATTGAAGACCATTTCAGAGGCTCGACATAAGGAAAAACTTCTTTAAAAGTTGAGTGCCAAGGGTTTGGAACAGGCTTCCCCTCCAGAGGTGGTACAGTTACCCACCCTGGCGATTTTCAAGAGGCATCTTGACGCCCATCTTGCTGGGGGTCATCTGATCCCAGCAGTCTTTCCTGCCCAAGTGCAGGGGGGCTGGACCCAATGATCTATAAGGTCCCTTCCAGCCCCTAACAACTATGAAACTATGAAAGGTAATTAACATGAGCTGGCTGACAGATTTGCTGATTGGATTGTGCCGCCAGGCCAGGGACTTGGTCATTCCTGGAAAATATTCCCTGAAAGCTGTTCATAGATTAGACAGTTTTTGAATTATGCAACACTTAATGCCTTCATCCAATTCAACTAGTAATAAACAGATCATGAAGGGATGGGAAACACTGAATACTATTTTCCTTAATGTAGTTGCACCAAACATCAAGTTTTAGAAGCATCGACTTGATTTTATCTTGGACATTCAAGAACATTCACAGTTAGCCCCTGACAAGACAAGTTCAGCTTATTAAGATAGGAAAATATATCCATGAGATGCCAATTTCTGTACCCAAATAATGTCAACAAGTTTAGGTGCAAATTTAAATGGATGGTGAGAAAAGAAAAAGTATCTCTTTGCAGTTCATACACATGAATGAACACTTTTTCACAGGAGAGCTAGTGAACGTAAGTATGTATGTAGCAGGACAATTATTTGTATACTGCCCACCTCCTCATACAATACCGAAACTACCTTGGAGTTAAGAGGACGAGCTTTAATAAAATTTACAATTTTCACTGCTTCACGAAGCACAACCTTCAGATTGTTCAGCATGTGGTTCATAACAAGCTGGATAATGAAGACTGCAGCATCTGCTTTTCATGTAAGAAACAACATTTTCAATGCATGTTGCCACACCTCCAACTTTTTCAGTCATTGCTTTCAATATGGCTTTGCCTCTTGTTTTTGTCTTAAGTGGACTGTA